ATATGAGTTGAGTTCAATGGGTTTGGTTTTCTGTTTTTTTGTTTTGTTTTGTTTTTTTTATGTGTGTGTTTTTAAATGGCACCATCGTAGGAACAAATCAAAGTCTAGAATTATCAATGATACCACCATCTCAGACAGATTAGGAATTCTCCCCCCTTTTACATTGCTTGCTGAAATGCAACCTCTTACTCACTAAAATAAAAAAATCCTTACTGGTTGAAATGCCCACTGATGGGACTTACTCTGTTACTTTTCTTCATAGTTCACGAGAAATTCAAGATCATGATCATCTCTGTGTGTCACATTTTCCACTCCCCATTCTAAGATTTCCAGTGGACAGCTTTATAATGAAGACTTCATCCTCCCAGTGGGCTGTTAAGCAGGACAAATGGGGTTGACCACTCATCTAGGATTTTTAACAAGGTTATTTATGGTCAGACTTTCAGCCTGTTTCATGAGAAGATGGTCAGTACAAAGAACACTCTTACCTAGCAAGGTTTGTGTCTATTTGAATCCCTATCATTCCTGGATACAGCACCCAACTTCTAAGTTGGGCAAAGTCCTCAAAGCCATTTATTTATGACCTTTCTTAGTCCTGAGGTATTCCACAACTGTGAGATTTTTCAGTTGGTATATTTTTAATTAGAGAAGAGCTAAAGTTCTAGAGGAGCATCTAGACTTTCTGCAAAGAGACATTAATTATTTGCCCGAAGATACATCTCACCATTGCACAAACTGTGCTTTCCACACAACTCTGTGTTGTCTGTCTTTGCTCACATCCTCACTTCCCCTGCTCCTCCCCTCTCTCTTCTTTTTCAATTTACTAATTTTTAAGGAGCTCTGGTAGCGTAGTGGTTACGAATCGGGCTGTGAACCTTAAGGTCAGTGGTTCGAAACTACCAGCTGCTCCGCAGGAGAAAGATGAGGCTTTTTACTCCCGTAAAGATTTACACCCTCGGAAACCCTGTACAGTGTCGCTATGGGTCGGAACTGACTCGATGGCACTTAACAACAACAACAATATTTATTTAGCCTGTGCTGTCATGTCCTATTGAGAGATGTTATTGTCAATTTCTGTTGAGCCAATTCTGATTCAAGGTGAACCCATGTGGGAACTGCTCCATAGAGTTTTCAAGTCTATGAGCTTGTGGATTCAGATAGCCATTTCTGTCTTTGGAGGTGCCACCGGTTAGGTTCAAACTGCCAACCTGTTGGCTAGTAGTTGAGTGCTGAACCATTTGTGCCACCACCCAGGGTATATGATATTATGGTTGATTTGTGTCTCTTATGTGAAGAGGTATTTATTCCCTGTAGAAATCCTAAGAAGTAGTACTGCAGCTTGTGTAATTGAGCTTTCTTATCGTCACACAGGAAAGTCTGTATTAATTGAGCATAAGTTCTCCAGGGAAGGATTCTCTCAGGACATACTATTCAGTGCCATATACTGTTATAAAACCAGTTCATGAAATCATGAAATTGTATTTATGGGAGCATGATATTAGAATAAAGATGTGAAACATTTTCAACTCCCCATTACATCCAATTAAATGGGATGTAAATCAAAAAGACAGACTCAATAGGTAAGAACTGAAGACTTTATTTATACATTTATTAGTGAGCTTACCATTTATAGTTATTTTCTCTGATAATTGGAGATGTATATCCAGAGGTAAATCAGTGCTCAGGAATGAAGAGACTCAGCATTCATATGAGGGGGCTTCAAAATGCTTGTGGAAAAATTCCATTATCATTTAATTCTAATTTCCATGAAGTTTTTGAAGCCCCCTCATATTTGGTTTTGATGCTAGTTTGAGTGGTAATTAGAGTTTTGAACCGTTTGTTTGGACTAATAGTCACTTCATAGAGGTTTGTAAGGGAGATGGTTCAGAAAAAGACCAATCACATAGGAAGTGATTTACCCAAGGGCCTACACAAAATTAATCACAGAGCCTGTAGTCCTACTAAGAGAGTATTTGGTGTTAAAGGGAAAAGATAGAGTTTTTAGCTTTACTATTTTTGAATACTTCTTGAAGATGATGATTTAGGCTTGTTTCAAACCTTGTTTTATCAGCCTCCCGAAGTTTCTCTATTTTTCTCTTAGAAGAAAGGCCTGCTGATGTTCTTCAGAAAACCCCTCACTGAAACCTCTGCGGAGCACAGTTCTACTCTGACACACATGTGGTCACTTTAAGTCAGAATTGGCTTACAGGCAACTGATTGTTGTTGTAAAGTGCCAGTGAATCATTTTTTACTTATGTTGTTGTTAAGTGCCGTCGAGTCAGTTCCGACCCATAGCGACCCTGTACAGGGTTTCCGAGGGTGCAAATCATTATGGGATTAGAAAGCCTCATTTTTCTCCCGGAGCAGCTGGTAATTTTGAACCGCTGACCTTAAGGTTCGCAGCCCGATTCGTAACCACTACGCTACCAGACACCCAGTATACGGGTCTGCGGAGTGAATGCTGTATTCATACCGCTGATGTTGTTGTTAGCAGTCCAGTGCTTATCCATCAGTGCAGTACCAGGACTTCACTGGTACTATTGATAGATTTTCTTATATTTAAAGCATACACACAAACATTTCCATTTAGAGGTACACATATTAAAATACATTTCAAATGCTACTAAAACATTTTCTCTTTTCTGAGTCCACTTACTGTCCATTTTAGGAGATATTTTTGAGTCCTCAAATTTTAATAATTATAGTTGATCTAGACATCAGATTTTAATGATGTCTTTGATTAAGTTTGTTGCTGTTGTTAAGATCTGTCAAAATTCTGACTCACGGTGACTTTGTATAGGATTTCCAAGGAGGAGCAGGTGACTTTGAACCACCTACCTTGCAGTTAGCAGTCCAGCGCTTATCCAACATTGTCACACCAGGATCAAATTTAACTGAGATTGAGTTAACTTGCCTCTTACTCTGCTAATGTCTTAATGACCTGAACTCAAGACAACATTAAATGTCTTCTTACTGATGTATCCCCTAACATTTTTTGCCTACACCACAAAATTATGCTTGTTTTCAAATGATCATAAAAAGGCCAGCAATTCTCATTTTATTTATAAGGAGTTATACACTAACTTGTCACTAGAGCAAGTTAGCCTTATGCTGTTCTTCTTCCTATTTCTAGTGACCCTGCCATTCAAGACATCTTGTGATTACAATAACTTCCTTTCCCTCCCCACTCTGAATTTGTTTTTCCCTCATTTATATTTCTAAAGCACTTGTCATCACTCTGGTTTTCCTAATTGCCAGCCTGAGAAATAGACATCTTATTCTACTTAAGGGAAAAACCCTGAAAGTTCTGGAGAAAGAGTGAGATTATTCTGACAGACATGAGATATAGATTGGAGGAGAAGGTTCAAATCATGGATAAGGCAGTTAGGAGACAATTTAATCAGGAGAGGAGGCTTTGGGATGGGGAGGGGGACACAGTGAGCTGCAGCAGTGTAAATAGTATATAGATTTACTGAGGACAGAGGAAGTC